TAACGTTTTTGAAATGGATGCATCTGATTGGTTGCATTTGAATTGAGGCGCGTAATAAATAATGATACTGTTCTGTGAGGATGTGCAGTTTTCTCTTTTTTTCCCCATCCCATAGAGACCGCTATGTCCGAGACCAAGACAAGACCGAGACCAAATAGAGTCGAGACCAAGACAAGACCGAGACCAAATAGAGTCGAGACCAAGACAAGACCGAGACCACAAAAAACCGGTCTCGAGAACTACAACACTATCAAACACTAACCAGCTCTTAACCTTGTAACCAGCCAAAGTAAAATATGAACGTTTCACCGTGTGAAATATATTGACCTCAATGAGAAAAACACTCATTTCCAAACATGCATTCCAGAAAACCTGTTGGTTCTCATTTAGTTTCAGGTGACCTTCTCAGGTGGCAGAGCTGCATGCGTACCAGCATTCAGCTGAACCATGATGCCAACCGCAAGTGACCCCAACCAATGCTGACAATGAAATGCTAACAACCACCGTGCAAAAAAAAAAAGGAACAATGCAAGGCAACATACACAATGGATGTTGCATAAAGACACAGTCCATGAAAGTCAATATAACAATGCACACAGTATATGAAAAACTAACACTCAGATGTGCTAGAAAGCCGTCCTTTAAGACCACCATGCTGAAGTTCCCTGCCCTGCACTTTACACAGGCTCTCCATGCGACGGAAGCCAGAGCACAGACGCGGCGTTCTACACACCAGTGTGATCACCGCCAGCATTTCTAAGTCAATGGAGATCAGCAATTTTCAGAATATTAATATTTAATATTTGCATTCAAGCGGCACAGCTACCTCCCCATTCTTAATAATAAACCTAGATCACTGTAAATTGTTCAAAAATACAAACCTTACAGCAGGTTATCCCCACATGAGGAAAACTGCGGTAAGTCTTTAAATTACCCCGCAGTAAAACTAATGGTGTTGGATCCCGCCCAGAGCGGGCGTGCCTGATTGGCCACGGCTCCCACAGCGAGCGCGCGGGATTGGGCACTCTCCCACAGCAAGCGCGCGGGATTGGTCACGCTTAGCAGGGGGCTCGCCCTGAGACACACAGGCCCCAGAACTCAATGCGACTGTCACGTTTGGCTTGTTGATCGCATTCCGCATTCAGGCACTTCAGCAGCAGTCCTCGCGTTGTGCCGTCGGTAAGCCGTGACCCGGCGGTCAGGTAAACACGCTCCACCGCACATCAACAAGCCCCTATTCTTTACCGATTCATTACTGAATGAAGCTTATCTGAAACTGATGCACTGAATTCCCCAATCAATCAGGAATTATTCCAAACCGTGAATGTTCCTGACACCTATACCACTGCGACACTGACGCTTGGTCAACACTGGTGACAACACTGGGGTGGAACTGGCTGCAGGTGTAAGCTCTTCCTGTTTTAGGGAACGCCTTGGGCTGCAGACGCCTACACCCGCTGGAACGTGGACGTCGGAGCTAGCAGCCTCTTAAATGACGCGGAGGGGAGTCCCGGGAAAACCCCGGGGATGAGAATCCCACTTCTGACAGGTCCTCGCTGAATCGGACGCCCGCAGCTGACGGCCGTCTCGCCGTAGGTATGAAACTTGCTCCCATCGATCCACGACGTTCCCAGCGGCCAAGTCAAGGACAATCTGAGCGACACCAACCCAAAAACCTCCCCTCCAGGAGCTGAAGCACTGAAACACGTTTTGTTTTTTTGTTTTTTTTTTTTATAACCTCCAGAAGTCCACTTTAGGCTGGTGTGGGGAGAGCACCATCACAGGACATGGGCCAGGAACCCCCAC